CCCGCCCCCCCACCCCCCCCCCCCCTCTCTCTCTCTCTCTCTCTCTCTTTCTCTCTCTCTATCCCCCCTCTCTCTCTCCACCCTTCACCCCCCTCTCTCTCTCTCTCCACTTCCCTCGCTCTCGATCACTCAGCCGGGTCTATGATAGGCTAATTAGGCGCAGCAAAGATCAAACTATAAATCATGAAGAAGATGCAACGCGCCCCACAACAAAAAACCAATCAACCACGTCTCCGGATTGCTGGCATCATCGCGTATTTCTTCTTACACGCAATATTTTTATTCTGCGGAATGATTAAACATTCAGAGCTTAGAGTAAAGTGGTCGGCGACTGAAATGCGTTGCCTTGTGGTTGGGAGGCATAAACCTCGTGTTCAGCAGATGCATCGGTGTACTGACTGATCTGGAGTCGGTTTTCGGCGAAAATAGCAGATTTTCACTGCTCATTATCTCAGCGTAGGGGCATCGTAGGGATCAACATGCGGTTTGTTTTATATTAACAAGGTAGGACAGCTGATCAATAATACTGCAAAGAATCGTCAAAATAAAACGGGGAAAGTTTATTAATTCGACTAATACTGCACCATGGTTTCAGCCTTTCACCGTTGTACGCTCTCCTTCTTTATACGCTCTTGGTGTTAGGGTAGGTTATAACTAAGAAAAGGCTAGCACCATCCTCATCAAATACACTAGTGACTTGTGGTAAGCCATAAGCCTGGGGTTAAGGAGATGGGGAGGAATAGGTCCTAGTAGGTTATGTAGATGACATTAGTAAGACATGAGCCTGGAGTTAGGCAGATGCGTGGGGGTTATGTCCGGATAGGTTGGTAAGTAGATAAGTGTAGCCTATTGATCAGGCTAGCACTATCCTTATCAAATACAAAAGCGAAAGTATAAAGTATTAAAGGTGCCTTGTGGTGAGGCATAATTAAGCCTGCAGTCAAGAAGATGGGTTGGAATAGGTCCTAGTAGGTTAGGTAGATATGTGTAACTTATTGCTCAGGGGCCCGCTGTCAGAAACAAAATTAGTCTTAACATTAGTCTTAGCATTAACGTTAGCAATAAGTTTACGCTTGGTCTGACACAAGGGCGTAGCCAAGAATTTGGATTGGGGGGGGGGGTCCTCGAGCAAGTAACAAATTTTTTTTTTAGTTAAATGTATAAACAGTGCTTTAAAATCAATTTAGACGCTGTTTTGTTGACAATACTATTTCTTCTGCAGCTCTTTTTTTTGATTTTTGAATTTTTGAATGTTTGTTGAATTTTTTTTGGGATTTTGATTTTGATTGGGGGTCCTAGGGCCCCCAGGACCCCCCTCTGGCTACGCGTTTGGTCTTACAACGGCCCCAGGATATTATATATCAAATACAATCCTTATCAAATACACGATCATACCCTTACTGCTATCCCTAATCTTCAACCCATGATGAGTGATATATTTAGATCAGGAGTGTATAATAGCCTATTATACACCTACGCCTATTATACACTCCTGATTTAGATGTATGTCATGTCAGCGATATTAGATATATATATGTCATCATGTGAGAGCAAGTGACCAGGACGTACTACGCTAACTCCATGATAGCAATATGTGGACTCTCCTTGCAATCATCTTCCCAGAACAACGTTGTTTTCTAACCACGAATCCCTCAACAGTAATAAATTGCCGTATTGTCTAAAAATAAAAATGCTTTCTTCAAGAAACCGCGTGATTTCCATGAATCGAAAAACATTTGGCACTCTGCCAGCATGCAGTCAGTCAGTCCGCTGATCTCCGTTGATGGCCTACACGTGCTCAGTGAGCTACTTAACATAAAATCACGAAGATGAGCGCAAAAAGAACAAAAAACAACAAAAAAGGGCAGAAAGAAACAAAAGCAGCAGCGGCAGCTGTACACATAATCATGCGCAACCGGTTCCGAACTCGGCGTTCGTTCCGGATCCGGACGACTACGCAGGCTGGAAGGCATTGCTGCACCGCGTCGACTGAAGAGGGGAGAAGTTTCGTAGACAGCTGAGGCTTACCAGACACGATGTGTTTTGTATGTTTTTGCTCGAATAGAGATGTGAGGAGCGAGTGTAGTGTGGGCGAGTTGAGATGCGCGGCGCATGAGAGCAATTACGTTTCTTCGTGTATCTTGCTGCGCTGCTGCTGCTGCATAGCTGAGCTGCTTCGATATTTCTGCCCCTTCTCTTTATCTCTCTTTCTTTCTCTCTCTCTCTCTCTCTCTCTCTCTCTCTCTCTCTCTCTCTCTCTCTCTTTCTCTCTTTCTCTCTCTCTC